GTATAAATCCAATCTCTCCTTCTCTTCTAGTCTCCCAAGCGAACGTTATACGTCTTTACCAACGCTTCCAGGCCTTGGATAAGGATGAAAAAGGGTACCTCAGGTAAGGGGCGGCGGAGAAGAATTACGGCATTGGATAGGCGTTGAAAGGCCCGCCTTCTGTTGACAGGAAGGCTCTGATCCATGAACACCCCTTGACCACCCAGCATGGCCTTGCACTGGGGTAAGGTAGCGGTTTTCGGTGACCCAGTGCCCCTGCCTATGGAGGCCCAATTATGCAAGGACTTCCGTGAGTGATACAAAGCCATTGAGAGCGTTTAAAGCACTTCAGAGGAGAGGCCGTGTCCTCTCACAACAGCCCTGCGAGGTAGGCCAGTCTCCACTGCAGGCGGGTGAGAGAAAAGTGGCAGGTGTGTGGCAACGTGTTTAAAAATCTTCACAGCCAATCAGATCTCCAGTGGGCAATCGGGAGGCCTGCCAGGCGAACACTTGGTGGTTAGGGTTAGGGACCCTTGGCACTGCAGTCAGGTCGAGGCCCTTGACAACAGCCAACAGGGAGGCATATTTGGGTTGCCGTGATGCTCCCTCTAAGCTATGGAGTCTTGTGAGCAAAAATTCCACTTTGTGAGCTACCGGCATTAAAGTTGTGAGCGAGCAATTTGGCTGCTGCATCAGTTAGTTTGCTCTGGAGCCCTCCTTCCTGAGCGAAGGCAAAAATGGGTGAGCCGGAGGCTAAAAAACTGTGAGCTAGCTCACACTAACTCAGCTTAGAGGGAACACTGGCCGTGACTAACAAAACATGTCGCCATCCTACCGTCGAAACAGCTTCTGGTATCATTTCGTCACGTCTACTGCATTCTCCTCCCCCAATTCCCCCTGCAGCAAGGACGATCTCGAAGGTATCGGAGAGCTAGCCGTGAACCCCATCGGGGACCGGATTATCAATGCTTTCTTCCAAGATGGGTGAGTGACATTCCGAAGACTGTGGGCTGGACTACAGGACAGTTCAGTGGGTAGGGAACCGGTTAGCGGTCCGCACCGAAAGAGTGGTGGTCAATGGCGTTTCATCGGATTGGCGGGAGGTTCCAGTGGGGAGCCGCAGGGCTCGGTTTGGGGCCCGGGACTTTTCAATATTTTTATCAATGATCTGGATGAAGGGGTAGAAGGGCTACTCATTAAATCTGCTGATGACACCAAATGGTTGCAGTTCAACAAAGACAGATGCACTGGATTACCTCTGGGCCACAAAAATGTCAAGCACAAATACTGGATGGGGGATACGTTTCCGGGGAGTAGGGTCTGCGAAAGAGATCTCGGGGTAAGAGTGGATTGTAAACAGAAGAAGAAGAAGAAGA